CTGCAATGCTTGGTAAGAAATGTACGCATTATCCTGCCCATGTAATTGTAACTCCTCTGTACAGCATGTTCACAAATAAAATAAAATTTAAAAAAAAAAGATTTGTAGAGGTGAGAGGGAAGGGATGCTAGGGGAAAATCAAAGGAGGAGACAGCAATGCTCAATAGGAAATGTACTCATTATCTTGTTCATGTAACTGTAACCCTACTGTACAACATTTATACAATAAAAAGTGTACAAAAAATAAAAGATTTGAAATCATATGTTCTCTGAACATAATAGAACCTAGCTAGAGATTAATGACAAGTGACAGATGAAACAAATGGGAGAGTTTTATCTAAGTGCAAAACCTTGATCCTCCACCCAGAATTCCAAATTGTTTATGTTATCAGACTGGAACATGGGAAAAATAGTTACCTTCCTTCTGACAATGTACATTGCCCAAATGATAACTAAATGTATTAATTTATTGTTGCCCATGATAAAGTGTTTCTCTGTCCACTTTATTTTACAGCTTCTCTACTAAAAGGACTAAAACATGCTAACATAGTGTTGCTTCATGATATCATCCATACCAAGGAGACACTGACACTTGTCTTTGAATATGTGGTAAGTTAAATAAGAACTTAAGCTTCTAAAACTTGAATGAAAATCTCACCGTTTTATCATGGACATTTACTTTTAGATTGTTACACAGAAATGAGTGTTTTTAGCTGAATGAATGAGATAATTTTGCATAAAATAGTGGTCCTTTAATGTATATTTTAAAATATTATCTCAGAAGAATATCCAGGAGAACTGTGAAGATGACTTTTTGTTATATGTATTATCTATTTGTAGTCTATGTGTTTAGCATACATTGTAATTCTAGATTTACTGAATACAGTTAAGCAACATGAGAATCACTATCAGGAATTTCAAAGACACTAAAAATGTGTCCCTCTCCCCCTCCACACTTTTGACTTGTAACTTGGTTTTACAACCAAATCCTCATGAAAATTTTCTTTTTTTGGAAGAAAGCCTGAAACTTTATGTTTTGAAGTTTTCCCTTTCAAATGTTATTTCAGCTATTAATTGAGACTTCCAATTTGCATGGCACCCAATGTAACGATCTTATTGTGTTGGGAGTATTACTGCTAGAAGACTTGGACATGAACTCTTAATTAATCTTTCTTCATTTCCTTAAGAAAAACATATGGTGTTTGTGTAGCAGCACTTCAGCATTTAACTGTGGAATCATGAAACGTAACCATGATAATTAACATTCCAATTTTCACAGATGGATCTGAGAGCATGTAATTTATAGGATACAAATGACATCGGTGCAGACTTTTTATTGAGAATAGCTATTGGTATTGTGAATGTATTAAGGACCCATTTTGTAATTACCACATTCTTTTTAAAAAAATGCTCCATGATATATTTTCCATTTGCCTTAAAAAGTATAAAAGAGTGAATATTTGCAACATTTTTATCTTGCTAATGTCTGCCAGTATCTATTTTTCATTTGAAAATTGTTGTCTCATGAAAAAACCATTCATCTTGTCTATTTACATATAAATGATAGATACATTTAAATAATATGGTAATGTGGCTAAAAGGACAGCTAGAGCCAAGCAGTTGCATATATTACATGCTACTAAGAATGGATGCAGATTCACACATCAATGCAAATATAATTTCTTTTGTTTAATCCATGATTTGGAGTCAATGGCATATTTAACTGGTTTATACTTGGAACTTTGGATTCAGATTTTCCAGTAGGTCTCATTTACATATTCCAATGAAAACTAGGTTTTCTAACTACACTTACACTTTTATAATGTTTTACAGAAAAGGTATTTCAAAAGTGACCTTATTTCTTCCTTTTAATTGGATAATTCGGCTGACAGTAATAAAAATATTTTGGTTACCCAAGTCATCATTAACATTGGTAGAGAAACTAACATCAATAATGTGGAAATACATTCTCAAAATTCTTAAAGTAAATTGAAATATTTTTGTTAGGTCAAACAATGATAATAACTTGAATATTATTTGATGATTTTAGATTTTATAGAATTGCCAAAAGAAAAAAAAGGGAAGCATCTCATATTCCTGTAATATTTGCTGATTAGGATTGATTTTTTTTTTTTTTTGGTCGTGGAGCTTGAACTCTAGGCCTTGGGCTCTGTCCCTCAGCTCTTCAGCTCAAGGCTAGTGCTCTACCACTTGAGCCACAGCACTACTTCGGGCTATTTCTGTTTATGTGGTGCTGAGGAATTGAACCCAGGGCCTCATGCATGCGAGGCAAGCACTCTACCACTGAGCTACCTTCTCAGCCCCTAGAATTAATTTTTGAACGTAATCATTTTTCCTTGTGGGAGTGAAATTTTCCTTGGTCACAATTAGGTCTTTTAAAATCAACCATGTGATAGCTTGGGCATATGTGGTACTCCAACAGTAATATTACCTTCCTTACTTTTCTGAGGATGTCATTCATACTATATACAGATATTGGTTTTAGAAAATGAAGCAAGCTGTGTGGGTAACCCCACCTCTTCTTTATTTCTCTTCTCAGCCTCTATTATCTTACCTCCATTTCATGCCTTTTTAAGGATTCTATTTATTCTCTGTACTGCTATAATTCTACTATCTCTGATGAAGCACTTTGACTGCTATATCTAAAATTTGTTCTCAGTGAAAAGAGGTTTCAGAGTTTGCAAAGTCATGAGCGGTGGGCTCCAGAACATCTTCAGAATTTTGCCACTTAGGATGAGGGAGATATAGACTATTTGCTTCTGTGGCAATTGCTCAGTACCAAAAGAACCAAAAGAATTCTCTGAATTTTGTCAAGAGCATTTTTAAAATTTTTCCTGCACTGCTTTTAAACTGCTTATTCTTTGTAAATATGCTGATGCCGCAAGGAAAATTTAGGTTAGGTACTTCAATGGATTAATTGGATTACTTTTCTCACAGTATCTTAGCAGAAATAAATTCTACCCTTTTCCTGCAGGTTTCATATCAGTGAGAGGTGACTGTAATTTTGTAGCATGAAATCCTTGGGAATTAGAGCAGACATTAGTTGGGGGAAAAAGGGTAGGTATCAAGCAGGAGCTGTGGGCTTGGCATGATGAGTTAGTAACAAAGAAAAAGAGCTGAAAGAAAATGTTTAAGACAAGCATGACCACAGTATTGAAAACTAGCACATTTAGCTTGTTGACTTTTGTGTTGGGCACTATGCTGAGAGCTGTGCATTCCTTGCCACTTTCCATATTCTTGACAGCACTGTGGAGCTATGGCTATCACTGCTTTGCATGGGAGAAACCAAAGGATGAGGACAGTGATGAGTGTGTCCAAAGTCTTGTAGTAAAAAAGCAGACTCAGGTCTATCTTACTCTGAATCCCAAATATATATATATATATATATATATATATATATATATATATATATATATATATATATATATACCAAATATATTTTCTGTTTAATTTTGCAATTTTACTTTGATGGATAAAAAAGGGAAAGGAATTTTCATCATTTTTTCCATAACCATGTACTTAAGACCATTAAACACAATTAAAATGCTGTAGATTGTACACAGGTTTTAACAACTGGTTAACCATTAATCTTTTTTAAAAAAATTAAGCATCTATTGATTCATTATTAATAAATGCATATACAACTACTATAGCCATGTAACAATGGAAATTTTTAATCATGCATTAAAATTAGCATTTCATAATCAGTAATGGGTCTGTCACGATTGCTTGTGTTTCAACCAATCTCAGTTTTAATAAAAATGATCCTTGGGATCATTGGGAAATAACTATGATACATGCAGAGTTTTTTAATTTTATTTTTATTATAAAGGTGATGTACAGAGGGATTATAGTTACATAAGTCAAGTAATAAGTACATTTCTTCTCCTACAGTGTCATCCCTTCCCTCACTCTCTCCCAGCCCCTCCCTCCCACCCATCTTGTATAGTTCACTTTCATCACAGTATCCAGTGAGCTCCACTGTGCACTTTTTCACCCTTTTTCTCTTGAGTTCTGTGCTCCCTCTACCTTCCCAAAGATAGACACCAGAATAAACCATACAGAAAGAAAAGAAAACAGAAACAACAACAACAACAAAACTCAGGAATGAGACAAGGATGTCCACTCTTTCCACCTCTCTTTAATCTAGTTTTAGAATGCTTAGCTACAGCAATAGGCAAGATGAAGTAAAACTCTCCCTCTTTGCAGATGACATGATCTTGTATTTAAAGAATCCCATAGATTCCACTCCAAAATTATTCAAGCTGATTCAAAACTTTGGCAAAGTAGCAGGGTATAAAATTAACCCTCAAAAATCAATGGCTTTTCTGTATGCCAAAAATGAGAAAAGCGTGGCTGAAATCAGGAAAGCAACCCCATTCATAATAGCCCCACAAAAACTAATAAAATAACTAGGAATTAACTTAACCAAAGAAGTGAAGGACCTCTATGATGAAAACTTTAAAAACCTGAAAATTGAAATCAAAACAGAACTTAGAAAGTGGCAAAACCTCCCATGCTTCTGGATTGGAAGGGCCAACATGGTGAAAATGGCAATACTTCCCAAGGCTATCTACAAATTCAATGCAATACCTATCAATATTCCAACCTCAAACTTCAGGGAAATAGAAGAGGCAATCCAAAAATTCATATGGAACAATAAAAACCCCAAATACCAAAAATGATCCTTAACAGAAAGAACAGTGCTGGAGGATTATCAATACCAAATTTCAAACTCTACTACAAAGCCATTGTAATCAAAACACCTGGTACTGGCCTCAGGATCATTGGAATAGAATTGAAAACCCAGAAATGAACCTACAGACCTATAGCCATCTAATCTTCGAAAAGGGATCTAAGAAAATAGAATGGAAGAAAGACAGCCTCTTCAGTAAATGGTGCTGGCAAAATTGGTTAACTACTTGTAGAAAATTAAAGCTAGATCCTTATCTATAACCCTGCACCAGAATCAACTCCAAATGGATGAAAGACCTCTGAGTCAAAGCAGACACTCTGAAAACAT